ATTATAATTTTTTCCCGTGGACATTTTAACAGGCTTGTTTACAAAAAACAGTACGAAAAAGATGGCTGATACTGATGCATGCGCACAAAAAAAAATTGTGATGAAAAGCCCTATTGTCAGAACTGTCATTTGATTTTTTATTTTCATTAATCTTTAGCTTATTTTTGTAATTTATAAGTGATTTTTTGTATTTTATTATTTTAATGACACAAATTTTAACAATGGTGAGAGTTTGTGTAAGTTGTAAATAGAAATATGAAAAGGCATCCTAAAGAGCATTTTACAAGTAAGTAACATTAGGTCTCTATCATTTTTTTAAAAGAAATATAAATATTTTATGCAAAAGGCCGTTAAACATGAATTTAAAATAAATGGTAAAGAACCCCGCACTTTTCTTATGCAAAGTGGCAACTTGTCAAATTTTCTGAAACTCTGGTATGTTGTTGTAGTCAACCTAGTTACCAAAAAAAAATAAATTTTAAATTCATCAGTCTATCTTCTCTTCCTGTTAGCACCTTCTCTCCACTTGCCTCTACCTGTCCGATTGTCTCTGCCTGTCTGCTCGATTCTATCTCTCTGCCATTCTGTACCTATCTGCTAATTTCTATCTGTGTGTGTTGTTCGTGTTTACCTGTCTCTTATGTATGAATCTATCGTGCCTCTGCCTCTCCTGCTTCTACCTGTCTTAACTTCTTTCTAATGTATTGTTTTTAATTAAAATTCTTATGTACCTTTTATTTTATTTATTTCTTCTTTCTGGTTTAACAATTCTCCAACTCTAACATCATTAATCTAATATAACATTCTAAATATCGTCCCTCTGATAGTTTTTTTATTCCCACTGACAATTAAAAATTATTTGACATCTTTTTCTCAATCAACCAAAAACCCCGACATTTTGATTTTTCACTTAAATTTTACTTTCCAGACACTTCACCACCCCAGTATTGTTCAATTTAGATATTAATTTTGATGACGTCAGGAATTTCTATATCAAATCCCTCAAATTAATTGTTCGCCCATTATATTTTTTAAAATATACTGTGAACAATAAATTTTAAATTTTATCCAAATATTGAAATTCCCTGATTGGTTATTATTTTTCCATCTGAAATGTTGACTTCGTAAATTTTTCTTTATTCATTCAAACCAAACAAACTATTTACTAACTAATAACTCTAACTCAAAATGACAATATCTAATTCAATAAATAACTACCTAAATCTAAACTTCATATTTGTACAAATCTTGTACATGAAAAACCCCTCGTACTTTATCATCTTCCACATCCTTTAACATATAACTATTGACTTATTTAAATTTGTTTATTTAATTTCCTAAATATTATTTCTATTATATTTCACTATTAATTATCCTATCATATGCAGAACATTCTATATTATTTTCCATTTCTAAGAATCCGTTTTTCATAGCCTTATGTTCTTCTTTTTAAATTTTACATCTTTTGATGCTTTCTTTGTACTTTTCTTTTACTTTGTTTCTGACTTTTTCTTTTTCAGTCAATCCCCTATTTTTGGTTATGTTCCTCCATTCTTCTCTGATTATGTTCTTTCTTGCTAATGCCTTATTTTTATAATCTTCTTCCATTTTCTTTATTCTTAGTTTTATTTTCGCTTTATTTTTCAAACAATATTTTCTCTGTTTTTCTTTTCCAAGATCACCATTTCTTATTTTACATTCCCTCTTATTTCTTATCATTTTGCTTCTATTGTCTTGATTTATGTTTATTTCTTTTTTTATTTCTAATAGGTTAAAATCCCTTCTGTTGGATAATTGTTTTTCCAAATTACCTGTTTGCTTGTTTAACTTCTGACTATATTCTTCTTCTATTTCTTTGATATTTTCCTTTACTTTCTCCAAATTCAATATCCTACTATCATTTTTATTTACACTTGTTTTAACACTGTCTACCACTGTATAAATCTTTTTTTTAAATCTTCTCCTTTTTCTGTCATTATTTTATATTTCTTTTCTTGTTCCTTTTCTACTTCATCTATTCTTCCTATCATTTCTATTCTTATATTCTTCTTATTTTCTTCTATTTTTTTATCAGTATACTTTTTTAAATCCTCAAACATCTTCATTATTTCTTCTTTATCTTGTTTCCTTTTTTCATCCATTTTCTTACTATTTTCCTCTAATTTATCCATTTTTCTATCCATTTTCTTACTATTTTCCTCCAATTTATCCATTTTTCTGCTTATATCTTTATTGTTTTCATCCATTTTCTTGCTGTTTTCATCCATTTTCTTGCTGTTTTCATCCATTTTTCCAATTAGCATTTGCATAAAATCTTCCAAATTCATTCCTTCTTTCCTTTCTTGCGTCTCGACAATATTCTTTTCTAATGTCACTGTATTGTTCTGATTTTGTCCTGTTCCTCTATATTCTTTTTCAAAACTTGTATCTTCTATATTTTGCTGTTCCATATCTCCTTGTCCTATGTTTTCATCATCTCTCTCTTGTTCTTCAATCAAACCAACCTTCTTTCCTCCTCGCAAGTCCATCTAATATATCACTTTTAAACTTTCACCACTTTTAATATCTTACATTCCACGTTACACTTGACTTTTAATGTTACTTTCCCCCTACTTAAATTCCACCCAAATTTCCTATACTTTATATTCTGTCAATGTATTCTTGCTCTTTTCTCCTAAACCATACAAACATCACACACATGCAATATCTTCATTCTCTCTTTATAAAAAAAATATTCCAAAATCAACAATTCAAATAGAAAAATATTTATAAACAATCTTACCAATTTCCTTCCAAATTCCAAAATTACAAATAAGTATCCAAAATTTTGATCTCCCTCTAGAAATAATGCTCCACGTTGGCTGGCGACACTGATATAGAAACCCCCTGTATATCAATTTTTTTTTATTTGCCCAGACTCTTAAAAGGGGTGGTTCGGCTCTAGAAATTTACAAAAAATATATTATTTATCAAATTTAATATTAAAAAAAATTAAATTTTAAATTCTTCAGTCTATCTTCTCTTCCTGTTAGCTCCTTCTCTCCACTTGCCTCTACCTGTCCGATTGTCTCTGCCTGTCTGCTCGATTCTATCTCTCTGCTATTCTGTACTTATCTGCTAATTTCTATCTGTGTGTGCTGTTCGTGTTTACCTGTCTCTTATGTATGAATCTGTCGTGCCTCTGCCTCTCCTGATTCTACCTGTCTTTACTTCTTTCTAATGTATTGTTTTTAATTAAAATTCTTATGTACCTTTTATTTTATTTATTTCTTCTATCTGGTTTAACAATTCTCCAACTCTAACATCATTAATCTAATATAACATTCTAAATATCGTCCCTCTGATAGTTTTTTTATTTCCACTGACAATTAAAAATTATTTGACATCTTTTTCTCAATCAACCAAAAACCCCGACATTTTGATTTTTCACTTAAATTTTACTTTCCAGACACTTCGCCACCCCAGTATTGTTCAATTTAGATATTAATTTTGATGACGTCAGGAATTTCTATATCAATATATAGTATATTACATTACGAGTGTGGAAAATCACTTTTCACACAAGTGATGTACAATATTTTTCCTACGACCACAAAATAATTTCATCAAAAAATGTAAAACCAGATTATTATAATAATTAAAACGTATTTAAAAAAATAATCAACAATAATCGTATTTATTCAATTTTCATAATTTCTAAACAAATAAAAAAAAAATTCTGGCACAGCCAGGATTCGATCGAGGTCGTTGGACGGTCTCAAATTGCAAAGTTGATGCTCTAACCAACTGAGCTAACAGGCCTTACGGTAATTGATTGATCTAATCGCTTATGTGTTTAACCAGAATAAAAAGCAAATATATCTTAGTTATTTTAAAATTATTTTAAAAATAATTGTTAAAGATAAATATCTAGGATCTAATTTACAATAATTTAACAATCATATCGATTTTAGTATTAATATGGACATTACATAGATCAAAATAGAAATTATGTGTTTGACATTTTCTGACAGCTACTGCGGAAAGTAGCATATTCTCACTTGGGTGGAAAGTAAATTCTTATTCATACGCGTGTGATATAGGGCACTTTCCATAGGTCTATATAGTGTGATATGTGTCACTTTCCTAAGTGATCGTAGGAAAAATATATAAATGCATACACACGTTTACTATAAGTTTTAGTAACACATTAGTACATACGTACAATTCATAATATGTATAATTAGAGGGTGATTCACAAATGTATGACGGTAATTTTTTGTAAAATCACATTAATTCTACTGTGCGGTCAGGGTGTTTTATAGAGAGAACCACAACATAAAATTATTCTTTTTAACGATTAATTCAAAACCCTGTACTTATGAGTTAAATTTTGGGAAAGGTAATATCACTAAAATATATCTACCTTTAAGCTTCAAAATATACAAGGTGATTTATTTGTTGGAAGATATTATAAATTAGGAAGTATCAATTTTAAATCCAATACTATAACTAGTTTTCGAGATACAGGAGAATTGCTGATTTTAGTTATTTTTTCTTCAAACTGAAAAGATAGATGTTAATAAAAAAGGACATTTTAAAATATTTACTGTTACATGGTGATTCACGAATAAATCACAATATATTTTTGCAACCACTCAATAATTCTACAGTTGCGCCACAGATAAATTATTTTATTATCTTAATCTCTACCCACTAAAAATAATTATGTTTTTAAATTATTAAAACGAGACCTTGCATTTCTTTAGAGACTTTTAAGTAAGTTACATTATGCATGTAACTATAAGATTTTGAAATAAGTACAGGATAGTCTAACCGTTTTATAATTACCTACCAGCTATATCGGAATACCACATCATTTTCCGATATTAGTGATAAGCTTTTATACACAGATGATAATTATCCATTTTCTTATGTAGATATAATTTAAATACTGGCTTTAACGTTAGATAAATTATCAAGGAAAATCGGAAATTCGAATATAACTTTTATTCTGTTGAAAGACAAAATCAATACAATCAATTAAACCATAACTACTTGTACATTAATTGTTTTTTACAGGATGGTTACAAAATAAATGTTATTACAAACTAAAAAATTTTATAGGGTGATTTCGTAACACTGGGCACGTATATCGTACAGTCACATAATATATAGCGAGTTATATGATATATTAAAAATTATTAATCTTTTAAGTTATTATTGCGTTTATAATTTTTAGCATAAAAATATTGATATTTTGGATATTCCATACAGAAATGAATGAAACTATAGATACGAACGTATATTGCAACAACTATGAGAAAAATTAACAAATACGTTAACCACATTTCCAGATCACCATAGGGGTTGAGGTTTTGGCGCGTTTTTTAAATAGTGGTTTTCCCAATAGGCATAATCCACGTAATTAAGATTAAACTGTTTTTTGTTGGAAGTGCGTGTTAAATTGAATAGAAGGTTCTATAGATATAGGAAGCACAAAAATATATACCATGCCCGGTAGTGGTTGATGATTACAGTAACCAAATAGATAAAAGAGGTAGAAACTACAATAAACAAGTGATTATAAAAGGCAGAACAGATCTGATACACATTAGGTAGAGGCTGATATTTAAAAGATGTACAAATAAAATGGGTATAGAGTGCTTCTACACAAAGAAATGTTTTGAAACATAAGAAGTCATTTAGAAATTTTTAGGAACCATTATTTTAAATCACCTCAGGACCAATGTGCAACTCTTCTGGCAGAACCCTTTCCCCACAATCGTCAATACAATTTAAAAGTTTGGTTAAAGGAAATTTTATATTTTGCTTATGTCTCGCATACCCTAAAAACCATACAACGCAACATGAGCGCATGCGTCTTATTATTGGATTCTCGCGATTCTCATTTGCGTTGTTATATACAACCCAAAGCGTACGTCTGGCTTCATTTACAAATCTGAAATAAATTCTAAATCTTAACCAACCAGGCTCCTAATTTAACTCGTCGATTTAAATAAAATGATATTCTTGTCTTTGAACAGTTTCTTGTATGTAAGATGCCGCTAAATAAATATGGTAGCGACCCGTTAACTTTGTTAAATAATCTAAGTTTAATCGGGGAAAATCAAGTACATGTCCATTGTTCAAACGATTCCATTGACCATTCTGGCGTAGAAGATTTTCATTTTGAACACGAATTTGGACCTTATTATTTTCTTGCAATTTGTCCAGAATTTCAATAGCTATTTCAGGTGTTCCTCTTATTTCAATTAAAGGATGAAACTTATTTATTAAATCACCAGCAATTAAATAATATTCTTTTAAATGAGCCGCATGCGACGTAGATATTTTTCCAGAAAAAAAAATTAAAAATCGTCTTAAAGTGACGATTTCTAGATTCTACTAACCATCTAGTACTTGTAATTATTCTGTTTTTGTTAGCCTAAAGAGTAGAAAATTGATTTTGGTGCGGTTAAAGAAAAGAAGGCATATAAAATTGAATTCCAAGATTCTTAAATACGGCTATACAATCTCTATAGTCTCTATCCACTATCACGATGTCGCCGTTTTGAAACCAGTTCCTTATTTCATTTCTTGCATCCGAGAAATATGGTCCAAGTACTTCTAATACGTAACCATCGGGAGCCACCATTATTTCTGGTTTTACGAGGTGCACTTTTTTGTGGTCAGTAAGATTGGCGTAATACTCTAACGTTATTACTTTTATCTTATCAATTTTATTGTAAGTACAATCTATGTATACTATTGCAGATTGGGTGTTGAATTGTACAAGTGATTGATATTTGAAGATATATGGAGATATTTGTCTAGCTATAAAATTTTCTCTAGAAATGGTGATAAAACCAATATTATTCAGCACAAACAGCCTGAGAAGTGATAACGGAACATTTGAAATTGTTAGGCTTACAGCTTGGCTGCGAGAATAGTTAAAAATAATTTTTTTAAAATTTATCAGTTACCCCATGTCTTAGCTTTATTAAAAAATTTTAACAAATGCTTTTCATTAATCCTTCGCGCATTGCCATATTGCTCTATGTCATCACAAAATGTATATAACTTCTCAAAAGTAATTTTTGGAAATAGACGTTAAAGTTTTAAATTCGTCTTCGGCGAAACTTTCTATCCTTTCCCAATTTTTGATCCTGCAGTTAGCATTTGCTTGCACCCTTAAGCAAGATGTTGTATATAGGTCCATACTATATGTTAAAACACAAAAAGTGGTTTCCTTATCTCCGACTTTTTATAAACACAGGCCTCGATTGGAAATTAATAATTTAATATTGCAGTATTGAATAAATTGTCAAATACACAAATACGGGTTTTATTTCAAATTAGATAAATACCACTAAATAAAACATTTATAAAGCCTTGAAGGTTTGGTACAATATATGGTTGGTTATCAAACCGTAAACCTCGTATTAAATCTTGTATCACAAAACCGTTATTATTTAGATGATGTTCGCATATTCTTAAAAACTGTGGTATATAAATGTCAGATGCAACAAACACATTAACTTTACATTCTATTATTCTACGTAGGTTTTGTTGAGCATTACATATTATGCAAGAATGCCTTGGAACTGGAGAAAGAACATTAAATTGTAGACAGTTCGAATCAATTTGTATTTGATTAAGTTCATCCCTTACAGAATTAAAACAATTTAAACAAATTTTTGTATTATCACCGATATCCAGTTCGGAAAATTCAGCAACGAGCCTTCTAAAATATGCAACTTGCAAAGATGCAACTTGCAAAGATGCAACTTGCAAAATATGAATATTTTCTTCTTGGTCTAGGCGAATTAACAGTCTAGGTTGAAACGGTCTTTCACATACGTAACTAGTTAACCTATTTGCAAACGCCATTTTGTAACAACCAAACAAACACAAAAAAAAACAAAATATTAGGAACTCAACGAAATTATCTATGAAAACCACAATTGTTGAAAATATACAAGACAACTCTCGCACAATGTGATGCTTTGAAAATTTTTTTATGACATAAGCCCACTTTGATATTAACCAAAAATTATTAAATCCAACTTAATGCCGTAAAAATAATTGTTAGACATCGATTTTAAGGTATTTGTCTAATATATTTTTCCCCTCTCAACCCAAACAAACGCTGTTGAATGCGGACTCTATGAAATATATATGCTCGAAGCAAAAAAAATTGAGGGCCTCAATTGTGACCATCGAAATGGTGATATGTAAATTTTCAGCCGCTCTTTTAGCTGATACGTTTTACAACTTTGAGTTGTCTGAAGACTTATTTACAGGTGTTTTAAACTAAATCGTTGCACATGACACTTTTTAATGATCCCACCAAACACTTCACAAAATTCCTGCCGAAGGTACGATCGTACTACCTTGCGGCCGCTAGTCTAAGACAAAAACATATTTTTATTTTTGTACAAATTTAGTTCTCAAAAGCTTATAAAAATAAAATAAATCGAAGATATATCTTTTTAACAGTATCTAAATCCTTCTTTCAAAATAGAATAATTTCCTCATTGGCTTCCTCTTTTGTATTTCTCTGGTTCCTTATTTTATTCCTTTCATCAAAGTGTTTACGGTTAAATTCACTTTTCTTCTCTGCATAAGTTTTGTTTTCTTTTTTTCTCTGTTTAGGAGTTTTTTCATTTTTATCTGTTTCTCTAACACTGGTATCCTTATTAGTATTTTTATTAATAATATAATTATCGATATTTTTCTCGAATTCATCATTGCTTTTTTGCGGGTCTTCCTTCTCTTTATTAAGCTCATTGTATTTTTTCTCCACATAATCTCCACTTCCATCAGTGTCCTCATTTTCATCATCTTCGTCATAGTAATCACCACTACCACTACCACTACCTTCTCCAAAATTTTCAGTTTCGTCTTTTCTAACTTCACTTGGAGTACCTTGCAATGTTTGGCCAATATCTGACACTGTAATTAACAATTTTTCTTCATTGGAAGTTGTTTTTATAGAGTTTTCAGTACTTAGATTTGTAGTATCTAATATTATAGTAGTGATAGTTGTATCAGGGAATATTCGTGATAAATCTAAAGCTCTCGACTCCGCTGGCTTTGTTTTAAATTGAACTGAAAGTGTATCATTAGTTATTGATATTAAAGTTGAAGGAGGTATGGTTGTTTGTACGGTAGTTATTTCAGATTCTATTGTTTCTTTAGAACTTACATTAAAAGAAGTTCCTATTGATTTAACAGAGCTCATTGTTGATTCTGACTGTTGCGATGACACATAATCTGCAGCAACAGTTGATGAAGATTCTATAAATGAAAACAAAGTATTTGAGCTTTTAACAATATCAGTAATTGTTTTTTGTCTTAATTCTTCGAGAACTGCATTAGCGTATGTAGAGGTTATGGGTGGAGGAGTAATTTCAGTAATACCTTTTGTTGTCACTTTAATTTCTGATTTTTCTAAGCTATTGTCTGTTACATTTGTATTATTTATTAATTTGTTAGTTATAGAAATATTAGTAAATGTTTTTATTTGATCCAATATATCTGTCAGTGTATGGTTTCTGATCATTTGAACTGGTGGTATATCAGAAAAAATTGTTGTAATTTCTTCTGTTGTTACTTCTACCGTTGTTTCTTTTTTACTTGTTGGTATAACTGATGTACTTATACTATCAGCAGCTGTATTAGGTGGCCCTTCAGTTGCAATTTCTTCCGTTTCGTTTTTATTTATATTGTCGCTTGTAGATGCTTCAACGATATATTCTGTAGTTCTTTTTGTTTGCTTATCTATGTCATCTTTATCAGTTGTAATTCCCGTTGTAACTTCGTTTTTGGTAGATGCTTCTGTGGTAGTTTCAGTAGTAGATTTTGTAGTTGTTTCTATTTTATCAGTAGCTTCTTGTATTGTTTGTGTGGTTTCATTTAAAGTTGTTTCTTTATCTCTTCTAGATTCAGTAGTTTTCACGGCTACAGCGGATGTTTGTGCTTCTGTTGTTTTATTTGTATTACTCTCGGTGGTTACTGGTTCCTTTTCTGTGTCAGTTTCTGTAGTTTCTTCTTCTAAAAATGTTGTTGTTGTCTTTGTATTATCTTCGACCTGGGTAGATTTTGTTTCTTTGGTTGAAATTGTTTCTGTTCTAGTTATAATTTCTGAAGTTGTTACGTTTTCCGTTGTATTCGTAGATGCTACTTCTACAGTTGTATTTTGTATTTTGCTTTCCATGTGTGTAGTAGTTTCTTCTTCCGTAGTTGATGTTTGTTCTTCTGTAGTTGATGTTTGTTCTTCCGTGGTGGATATATGTTTTTCTGTAGTTACAGTTAGTTCTTCTGAGATTGCTGTTTTTATTTCTGTTTTATTTTCAACCACAGTAGTTGTCGTTTGATTTTCACTTACTGTTTCTGTAGTAATTTCAATTTCTGAAGTTGAAGTTTGCTCTTCTGTAGTTGATATTTGTTCTGTACCTGATGTTTTTTCTTCTATAGCTGACGTTTGTTCTTCTGAAGTTAAAGTTTGTTCTTCTGTAGTTAATTTTTGTTCTTCTGTAGTTGATGTTTGTTCTTCTGTGGTGGATATATGTGTTTCTGTAGCTACTGATAGTTCTTCTGAGATTGCTGTTTTTATTTCTGTTTTATTTTCAACCACAGTAGTTGTCGTTTGATTTTCACTTACTGTTTCTGTAGTAATTTCAATTTCTGTAGTTAAAGTTTGTTCTTCTGTAGTTGATGTGTGTTCTTCTGTACTTGATGTTTTTTCTTCTATAGCTGATGTTTGTTCTTCTGTAGTTAATATTTGTTTTTCCGTGGTTACTATTTGTTCTTCTGATGTGGATGTGAGTTCTTCTGTTTTATTTTCGAACTCTGTAGTTATTGTTAGTATTTCTATATTTATTTCTGTCGTTATTTCATCTTCCACAATTGAAGTTCGTTGTTTCGTCGTTTCTTCTATACTTGTATGTGTTGTTTTCTTTTTAATTTCTTCCGGCCAATCTTCTGTAGATGGTTCTATGGATACTTCTGTATAATCTTTAAGCGCAGCTGGCTGGCATACTTTATGTAAAAAACATCTAGGTAAGCAACATTTGAAATATCTGGGACATTGATAATCAGTTGTGCATTCAAATTGGTACGTTTGTGATCGAGGATACGGTTCATAACAGATAAATTCTCCTGATTCGCACGTTCCGGGTCTATCTAAAAAATAAATTATTAAATTAAAATTATAATACTCAAATAAATTTAAATCAAATGAATTTTATTTTATAAAGTATTATTTATTTGAAGACACGACTAGAGTCTACCAAACAGTACCTACATCAGAAGCTTCTATAATTGAATTTATTTAAAAAAAAATTGATTTGAGTTATAAGAGAGTTATTCTCTTTCTGCTGAGCCTATTTAGTAGGCGACGATATTTTCTGCAATAAATTTTATCTGACATTTACAAGTTTAGTTAGGACAGTTGTCAAATATAAATGATTGTTTTTAAGTTACATAAGAAGTATTCTTAAACTGTGATTTTTTACGATTTTAAACGTGTCTTAAACCGTAAAAAATGTTGTTTATTTTAAGGAAATTAATCGAGTGCTTGGTAAAAAGTTGTGTTCTTTCACTACTATAAAGCGGTGGTGTTATGAATTTTAACGTAGCCTACTTTTCTTAAATGAGCTCCTAAGCCAAATGGCAGTTTCAGAAAAATATATTGATCTTATTCAGATCATGAAAAAAGAGAAAGGGTATGTTACTATAATCTGTGGTCTCGGTAGATCGCTTGGACCATGGATTGTCTAATTTGGAGTACATCAGCGCAGGTGATGAAACATCGGTATGACTCGGCTCCAACAACAGTTGTTCGTGGAAAAAGCAGAAACAAAAAGATATTCGCCATTTTGTTTGGAAGTACTGCATTACTCGGCATGTTGCAACTGTAGTACTGGAGGTAAGACATACTCTTAATTTAGAATAGTGCGCTACAGTGTGTTTGCTTCAGGTTCTCCTAAAGTTTAGCGAAAAATGTCCATGAAGAAGATTCATCTTGCATCAAGATAATGAGTATTTAAATGCCTAGAATAGAGAGTCGTTCGCCGTAAAATCCAGACTAAGTACCTAATGACTTCTTGTTTTCGCTAGTAAAGGATAAATTATGAGGTTAAGGTTTTAGATCGGCCGAAGGCGTTTAATGCCTCTAAAAATGACTGTGGAGGAAAATACTTTGAAAAATTATAAATTATTAGGTTTTATAAATAACCTGTGTATTGCTTTACTAGTCTCAATGAAAGAAGAACATCCCTCATACAAATATATTTTTTCTTATATAACTATTTTTTTACTTAAAAATTATCAGTTAAAGAGGATTATGAAGAAGTCCCGGATATGAAAGTCATTCTTCAAGACTTAGCACTAAATAAATCTCTAGATGTCGAGGACCAAACTCATGATCAAGACGAAATTCCAGACACTGCTAAATGGAGTAAATACGTCAGACGGCAAAATATTTTTCAGTTTACTGGACTAAGTGGACTGTAAAAAGAATCCTCCCCCAACATAAGTCCCCTTGATGCATGTTTTTTTGTTGGTTGATGATGATGTCATAAATCTTATTGCTGAAGAGATAAATTGGTTCGCATCAAAGTAACCAAAAATTTTTTTCGAAAATCAAGAAATGGACACCCACTAATCCACAAGAAATAAAGAAGTTCCTCTGGTTACCATTTTAGATGAGCCTCGTGCGGTTGAGTGCTTTGCCAGAATATTGGGCTTCTAAGATCAGTAATGCCACTCAATAGGTATCAGTTGCTGTTACGCCTACTTTACTTCAACGACAATGAGAAAATTCAAAAAAGTGAACGTGTAGGAAAAATCCAGTCTTTGGTCATCATTCTACAATAAAAATTCCAGTCTTTATTCTATCCAGATAAAGATATCGTCGATGTGACCCTGGTCCCATGGAGATGCCGCCTAATTTTTAGACAGTATATTCCCAACAAGGCCCATAAATATGACATAAAGCTGTTCAAACTTTGTTCTGTCGATGGTTATACTTAGACACTAGAAGTGTATACTGGAAAATCAGCAATTGGATAGCGAGAAGTAGGCTAGAGACTGTATGAAAACCTCCTTTATCAAAGACAGACACTGTATATAGATAACTTCTATACCAGCTACGATGTGGCCACGACAATGCTTGAAAAGATGACTCATGTCGTGGGAACTCTACGTGCCAATAAAAAAAAACCCAAATAAATGTTCAAGGCAAATCTAAAACGAGGAGAGGTGGTATCTCGAAAAGACCAACATGGAATTCTGACAAACCACAGACGAATGAAACGGCAAAATCATCTATTTCATCGTATCATCATTTGGCTACAAGAATAGATGACGCTAGCAATAAAATTCGCCCAAGATGTACAACGTGCTACAAAAACTTATCCCAGGAAGTGAGTCGTGCAGTAGTGAAATCTAGATCAAAATTGACGTACAACTACTGCGACAAGTGTCCTGGCTATGAAGACTAGAGATAAGGAGGCGAGTCGGCCTTGGTTAAATTTTTATGGAGTTCCAAAAAACTACTGTAGTTGGCGGGTGGCAAAATAATGACGTCTATTTTCAATGGGAATTACAGTGATTTTTGTAAAATTTAGTGAAAAGAATAAAAATAAGCTGAAATAAAGAACCTGACTACAAGTAACAATGAGTAACAAAAAACGACAAAGCAGAATTTGCTTCGTTCCGGGTTGCAAAACAGGATATAAATCCGATATAAAATTAAAGAAATCCCAAGGAGATAAAAATCCAAGTCTTTTTAAAGCTCCTAGTGTAAGTAAAATAATGTATTTATTTCTAAATAATATATATTTATTGTAAAATAGTCACAACCCGTATCTTACGGAGTGTAGTTTATTTAATTACAAAATTCCATAATAAAAAATAATAGTCATAAATCTTGATTTACAAAACAACAATAATTACACATTAACTTTAACTTACTTGAAAATTTATGTTTTTTGATGTTAGATGAAGAGTTACTACTGTTACTTTTCTTTATTGAACTCCAATTTAGTCATTGCAAATATTTTTCATAGGATCCTAATAATGAATAGTAAATAATGTTTAACATAAAGACCCATTTATAATTAATACCAACAGTATTTTCTGTAATTTATTTAGCAATTAAAACATAGTCTTATTTACAATAATTAAAATCAACAGTATTTTCTGTGTGTAATAATTCTAGGTTCTTTTCCTTAATTTTAGCATTTGTAGAATAAAACATTTGATTAAGTTTATACCAGCCCTTTATTACATAATAAAATTATATACCTTTTTTACATGTGTATTATAAGGTTAATTAAATACTACTCAATAACAGTCAAATATCGCTTTAATAGGTCATTTGCTAGCTAAACAGAATTGGACACAATGAACTTTAGAATTAATGACATTGCATTATTTGTATTGGATAAAACTAATTATTATTTTAATAAAATGTAAAATATAATGAAATAACCTATTGAAGTTCATCGAACTGATATTCTTTTATTACACCTCCCTGGGGAACGAGAAAAATTTTTAGAACAACTTTCTAAAATTTTTTATCTTAATTAAGTAATACATAAAACTACCTGAAAAAACATTAAAAAAAAATTCAAAATCAGAATAAAATAGTAAAAGGAGAAAAATATTTTAATTGTAATATTTTTTAACTCGGTTTTTATGAACAACTAAAGTTTTATTTTTATCATTAACTTCACTCAATGTAATGTTCGTGTTATCTTCGCGCACTACACTGTATGGTCCTTTATAGATTTCTGCCATTTTAGTCGAAGCACTATCATTTTTGATTAAAACCAAGTCTCCTATACTAAAATTAACGTTACTAATACTAGGTTTACAATTATCATATCTAACTTTTCTACTCAATTTAGACTTTTCCAAATTTTCTTTGGCTTCGGCACTAGCTTGTTGTAATCTGAATTTTAATTCTAATGGATAATTATCGAATGAATACAAAGGATCAATTTTTTCTGTTATATTTGAAGGTAAATTAGCGGTTTTTCCGAATAGTAATTCAAATGGAGTATATTTGCATTATAAAAGAAACACCAAAAAGGAAGCCAATTGCTCCAACTATTGTTGTACTTAGAAACTTGCATTCTCAAATAAGCTCCTAAATGTTTATGTGAGTTTTCAATACTTCCTAAAGTCTGATGATGATGATAAGCAGTGGAATTAAGGTGACTAATATTTAAAATTTTACATGTATCGTTAAAAACTAATGACATGAATTCCGTTCCCTGATCTGTTACAATTTCTTTAGGTATTCCATATCTTAAAAAAAATTATTAACTAAAGAATTTGCAACTGTAACTGTTTCTTTGTTTTTAATAGGATAGGCTTCAACAAATTTAGATAGATCACATTGAATAGTTAATACGTACTCATCATCCATATCGGGATCCAAAGGACCCATTAAATCCAAAAATATTTTCTCAAAAGCTGTGGAAGCCGTTGTTGTAAGAGTTAAAGGTTGTATTTTCGGAATTGAATGTTTATATCGTTGACATTGGTCACAACGACGTACAAATGATAGAATATCTCTAAACAAACCTTTCCAATAGTAAAATTTCTTAATATTATTAAACATTCGATTGACTCCTGCATGTCCTCCTGTATGTAGTAAGTGAAAATCGTTCAAAATGAGTTGTTTTATTTCATAATTATCGATAGTTCTAACATCTTTTATAATTGTTAGTTTAATATTGTCATATTGTCACATGTCAGTATGTATGAAAGTTTAAGTATTTCATTTATTTTATTTAATGCGCATGTTTTCTTTATTATTAATAATTCACTAATATTATGTTTTTTGCAATTTTTTTGGAGATCTTTTAACGCTGACCGAAGTTCAGACGTTGAGTAAGTATCATCCATTTTATAATAAATTATTTGCAACGTTGCATCAATAATAAAGTCGTTAAAAATCATAAAATTATTTTTATTTTCGTGAGTGAATTTCAAAAAGTCTTTGGTTGCAACCGGTCGTAATTCAGTTGTATTTTTAGGTTTCTTTAACAATTCAACAACGCCAGGATGGCCAATCCTAGTATCAGTTACTGAATCGTTCGTAGTTGGGTTTTTGATTTTATTAGCTAAATCATTTTGAAGTTTAGTTCGAGCTCGGGTCATAATACACA